TATAATTTGGAAAAGTTTGGCGGGCCGGATTAAAAAGGTTTGAACGGGCCGCCTCGGGCCCCCCGGCCTTAGTTTTTCCATGACAGTTCGAAACCTTTGGGTCTGACTGCAGTTATTTTCAAATTACTTGTGTTATATATTAATAAAATAAGTAACAATATTATAATTTTAATATATTTTTTTTTAAATATCTACGACACAGCTACTCACCTGAGAATTTAGGAATCCTCTGAGTTAAGATGTATCTCAATCTCTGGTCAGTTATTTAGTAAGAAAAGTAGAAGTAGTAGAGAGTAGGTAGTGATCTATATTATACTTATCGGGTCTTTTTTTTTGCTTGTTCTTTTCTTGTTTTTTCATGTATCTCTACCCCCAGTTTTCAATTGTTTTGTTGTTGTTGTTGTTAATGCATTAATCATTCACTGAGAGGTTGAATAAACACACGTACATTCCTTGTGCTGTGTAGATATTCGGGATCGTCGTAAGAAGCCGGTCATGCTGTTCATCCATGGAGGCTCATACATGGAGGGCTCTGGGAATATGTTTGATGGCAGCATCCTCGCCGCTTATGGAAACGTCGTTGTCGTCACGATGAACTATCGGCTGGGCGTGCTCGGTAAGTTGTTTTTTGTTTTTTAAAGGAAGTGCCTTAAGTAGTTTAATGGTGAATAATTTCACCTCAGGCGTGTTTGTTTTTTAATTCCGTTACGCAAGCCAATCTCTCACACGAACAACAGCGTTGTACGTCCTAGAAGGGTTGCCAACTGGTAGGCAGAACACTTACACGGTTGCGTTTGAAACCACTTTACAGCTTATGATGACGACAGCTTTCTGGTCTGAACTATTCTGGTCATCTAAAAAAAAAAAACAAAAAAAAAACCACCTTCTGGTCACACAAGTCTTAATGAGAGGACTGGCAGCTGGGGCCTGGGTTTTATAGCAAACGATGAATAAAGGTTTTAAAAAAAAAAGACTGACAGGAAACATCTGTTTCTAAGAAAAGAAACAGGAGACTTAAACAATTAAGCACAATGAAATATCGATGGAGAAACTGTGGAAAGTTTATCGTGTAAATTAGGGGGGGGTACTTACCTCCGTGCCAGCGTCGAGGTTCGGTGCATTTTTGGTACGAAAAGAAATGTGGAGAGTCACATTGAATTGAATGAGAATAGTTGACGAGGAAAACAATAAGAAGTCGTCATTCCCCCTAATATATACAGTATGTGTGTATGTATATATATATATATATATATATAT